GCCGCGATCTTGAAATTCCGCGAGCCCAAGGCGCTTCGCTTGCTTGCGTGGGATCAAGATCGACCTCACAAACTCGCGAGAAAACACGTCTAGATTCGCAGAAAACGGCCGGCAATTCCTTTTAATTCAACCACGTGGGCCGATTCTTCTTCCGTTGCACGAAATTTTGTTTTTCTTTTCCTCTCTTTCTTTTTCAATAGGAAAATGTTTGTCTTGTATATCTTCATTTGCTGCATAAATTATTCGTTTCATAGATTTGTAAATTTTTATTGTGAAAACATATAAAAAAAAAAAGGAAAAAGGTTTATCGGGAAAGTAGTCCATATCGAATACACGACGAGAAAAATTTATTGTGTCTGTGAGTTCTTTTAACTTCTTTCTTTTCATCTTACAACAAAATACAAGCTTTAACGCAGTGTTTCTTTCTCTTCGTTTGTTAGTGAGGAAAATCTTACGTTTCGTTTTTAATAAAATTTCATATTTCGTTTCATTCTGTATATTTCGTAAATATTATGAATGGTTTTCATAAATTTGTTCTAAACAATTATAATATATAATTTTTAATTATCATAGATAATAATAATTATTTATCATAGAATTGATATAGATTTTGCTATAGATATTTGTTATATTCGGATACTACTTTATAGAGAAGGTTACTTGTACAAAAGTATTTTATTCTACATAGCCGTGTGTTAAAAAATTATTTTCTTATTAAATTTGATTTTTATTCTTAAACATCTCAAGGTACAACTTTAATCAATACAGTACAGTCTGCGTTGCTTGCCAGAAATTTCGAAGGATCAACGAATCCATGTTTACACTGGGACAGGTTTCTTGCGTGACTCGAGGTATTTTAATATTATAGATGATAGCTGTCGAGTAATCTTATTTTGCGTGCAACCAACAAGGACCAGCCATTTCAGTCACCCTGCTGAGCAGTGCATCCTTCTTATACAATCATGGACCACCATCAATACAAGAAAATATTTCCAACTATACCAAACCACAAATTCTCCCTTCAAAAATTACTCGGACATCTAATAAACATTCTGAAACTTTCAAAAGGCTTTTGAATCAGTCTAGTACGTGCTAGTAACACGGTTCAAGAAAAATCATGTATTTTCCGATGATGACCAAATAGAATCACGAAATACGCAAGAAGCTTTCACACACCGTCTGAAAAATTACTCAATCATTCAATAACTGTCCTGAAGACTACAGAAACCGTTTTATTCTATCCAATATGGGCTAATAATGCGCAATTGGTGAAAAATTGTATGATATTCGACAGTGTGGAAAGAGAATCGAGTCTGGGAATACAGTCAAAAAGAAGACTCGATCGATTCGAACGCCGATCGAAAGCGAAATGAAAAATTCCATGGGTTCAGGGGGTGGAAGAGTACGAGAATAAAAAAGAAGCTTCGGGTCGCGCAGGAGAGTCGAGAGCTTTCCCGTTATGCGCCTCCTCTCTAAGCCGATTTCGAGCTGCCGGCCACAGGCCGGTACCGCTAGCTTCCCAGAAATCGACGCTCGATAATGCCTCTCGATACGGATGAAGCAATCTCCTCTACTGTCGCACAGCCGCGAGAGGGGAAAAAAAGGCCTCCGACAGAAGGGTGGGGAAACAAGATGCAAGGTGGGGGAAGTCGCACATATAGCTGATACACCACTAGCTCATGTTTTATTCATCGATTCAAACAAATTCGAAGCGTACTCTTCGTCGCGTGCTTCCTCCTCGTCACCGATAACGTGGTTGTCCTTCTCTTATCCGAGCTTTCAGGGCTATACCTTCCCGTTCAGGGATGCCTGGACAATTTGGACGTCGCGAGATCCCTTCTTTCTTCGACAATTTTTTTATTTCACTCGTTTTAACGAAAGATTTGGAAGATTTTTTTCTGTTTTTTCTCGTTTCATTATTAGGTTGTTTTAGGTGAAATTGTTGGTACAATTGTTCATCACTTTGCTTTAGGAAGTGTTGAACACTTTGATCGGGTTAGTTTGGGATTGTTTCGTTCTTTTTTTTTTAAGAATCTTTTAAGAATTTTGTATGTGTCTTGATTTTATAATCTTTTGTACGAAATAAAGGAACGACGTTAAGGGTTTCAAAGAATTATTCGTAAATTTGTTCTAATAGGGGTTGAATTATCAACTTTGTTTTTCTTGACATTTACCTTTGAAAACTGAAGTTTGTCTGATTATTAGGAATATTATTTTTTGCACGATTATTAATGGAACTCTTCATTGGTTTGCTTTAGTAAGGATCCAACTGATTTTTAAACTTATTTCTGGAAGAACAAAGATCGAGGTGGAATACGACGAGGTTCCACATCGATCAATTTTCTACTGTTGGTCATTTGTAACATTTTCAGGCCTACAGACTTTAAAACCGTTGCTGATCGTAAGTAGACAAATTCTGAGAACTTGCCGAAGACTGCTTTGCGTTTAAATAGGATCGAAGTTTATCCTAGAACCTTCTTTTCCTAGTACTATTAAAAAAAATCGTGGTCATACGGTTCCATAAGTTCACGAAAGTTATTTGACAATTCAAAACGTTCCGAAGAAAGTTCTCGAACTGCAAAGTGGATCAGGTAGATCCAACGTCAGAAGTAATTGCGTCTGACTTAAATTCAATTCTACTGAACTGACCTACTATGATCGCCGCGTTCAATGTTGACGCACGACCGACCATTTTCGCGAATATCTTTTGACGATGATATCTAGAAAATCGGGATAATACGCAATTGTTCCATCGAATAAGCGTTTGTTCGTCATTGACAACCTAATTTTTGCTGAGCGGATTTCCAGAGACAGCTAGACTGTTCAAGGACTGATTAGCTCGAACTTGTGATCGAAACTTTACATTATTGCGATCACCTTCGTCTTATATTCTCTTGATCTCCTTATAGTACACCTTTATTTTTTATTTAATATTTTGCACATATTTTTCAATGATTGCGCATTTATTAATTTGGCATCTATTTAAATTTTGGAGCATATTATAATAAATATAATTTTAAAGTAATATAAAACGTATACGCAAAATTATATTTGACAACATTATCTTTACTCCTAACACTTCGTTCGAAGACTTTGTCACGATGAATGTACGAATGTACACAGTAATTCAATTGATCGATTCAGCTCACTAGCGATTGAATCAAATACCTTCGTTCGAAAATAATTTTTCCATCGAAGCATTTTAGTGGAAAATCACGAGTATATTATTTATTAGTGTCGAGTTTCATTTCCACCTATACCAGATTGATGACAAATCGAATTTTTCCAAGAGTTTATCGACTCAACGAAGGTGACACGTCGTTCCTTCGATTCTTTTTACTATTTATAGTAACGACCGCACAAATGTTATTTACAATATCGTTGTCAATTCTACTGTCGCAATAGTTGGAAATATCAGTGTAAGGATTCTTTTTCCTCCTTTTTCGTCGATCAGAACCGAACGCGTTCGCCTCCCAGTGCTTGTCGCAGAATTGCGTAACTTTCATTCAACATCCTGTAGGAAGAAATTTCAGATTCAAGAAACGATTGATTTTCTTGGAGATAGCGGGAAACGTCCCGCCGATGACGACGACGAAATTTATTTTATGATCGTAAACAACATGTCTGCCTTTGCAGTTTGCATTCGAGCATAAATCGGAAGCAACATTTTTCTACGTGCGATCACATTTCGATATTTGATCCTTGATATTTAGTTAGGATCCACCGAGCACAACGGTAACGAGACCACGTAGAAACTGCTACACGCTGGTACGAGAGACGATACGAAAGATCCGAGACTCGACAAAGATCGAATAAGATCGTTGTCGAGGAAGATGAAGAAGCAAAGGACACGGTCTACCTACAATTTTCCATTTGCTGAAATTTCGTCGTAAAAGGCGAGCGGCAATGCTCGGAAGGTTTTTCTTCGCTGCAACTCGTTTTGCTCTATCACCCCTGTGGCCCTTAAATGGCCGAGCGAAAAGGCAGCGAGCAGCTCAGCGAGGCTAACGAGCCCAGTTTCTCGTCTCCCCCGGCGGAAAAACGAACGATTTTCGGGTACAGCCTGTACGACGATGGCACGAAAGGCCCACTCTGGATCAGCTTGCAGAACCATAGGCAGGGTCCCATATCGATAAACGTCAAGTACATCGAAATAAGAGCGGAATAAAGGGCGTATGTGAGCCTGGTGTGAGATGGGAGTGAGTAGCCGGTCTCACGAGGTGCTCGTTGGACTGGAGGCTCACCACCTTGCTGCCAGAAAACCCGATGGCACCTTAAGGAGAGAAGTCAAGGGCAAGAAGCGTCCCTTCGTTGCCCAGTCTGGCCCAGCTTGGGCCCTACTTGGACCCCACTCCCGGCCGTCGCGTCTCCACCCCCTCCCCCACCGCCTCACTTCGTGTATATATCTCTTGGTTGTAGAATCTCCCTGCCCCTCCAGCCCCCTTCACCTTTCTGGATCTCCCTCCCTTCCCCTCCATACCTTCTATCATCCTTCCGTTCCGCTCCCTCCACCTTTCCAGCCCTTCTTCTTCGGGCTTCTCCCGACGTTCCACACACCTGAACGACCGAGAGTGTCGGAGAGC